CTTTCTTCCCGTTTTTGAGTCTTCCGGACCAAAACAAAAAGGCCATGACCTCTCCCCCCCCAAGGGCACAATGTGCCTCCCTCCGTGCATATTTGAGTGGGGTCCATAGCTAAAAATAATTAGTGCAACTAGTACCCCAAAGTGCACAATTCAGCTATTTTTTTACACCATATGGCTGGACTATTGTTACCCCTTGTTTCCCCTTTCTACCCCTTGTTCCCCTTGTTACTCCTTGTTCCCCCTTGTTTCTTTCGTTACCCCCTATTACCCTTGTTACCCCTTGTTACCCTTGTTACCCCTTTGTTACCCCTTGTTACCTTTGTTACCTCTCTTTCCCCCTTGTTACCATTGTTAACCCTTGTTACCCCTTGTTACCCTTGTAATCCCTTGTTACCTTTTGTTACCCCTTGTTACCTTTTTTTACCCCTTGTTACCCTTGGTATCCTTTGTTACCCCTTTGTTATCCTTCTTCCCCATTGTTACCCCTGATTACCCTTGTTACCTCTTGTTACCCTTGTTACCCTTTGTTCCTCCTTGTTACCCTTGTTGCCCCTTGTTACCCTTGTTGCCCCTTTTTACCCTTGTTACCCGTTTTTACCCTTGTTACCCCTTGTTCCCCTTGTTCCCCTTTTACCTTTGTAACCCCTTGTTACCCTTTGTTCCCCCTTGTTCCCCCTCTTTCCTCTTGTTACCCCTTGTTTCCCCTTGTTACGCCTTGTTCCTCTTGTTACCCCTTGTTACTCCTTGTTACCCTTGTTAGACGTATTAAATTCTGCAAGCCGAATACTGCAATGCTGATCGTACTACGTGAAAATTAACTCTTCACGACATCAACACGACACCGAGAGAACTCAAAACAGAGCGAGATTGTAGCCATAGACAGCTGTTTCGCCCTCTTTGGGGCTCGTCAGTATGGCGTAACAACCAGAAAAAGCTCTGGTGAAAATTATCCGGGCACTCTGATTTAAGCTCTGACCTAGAACTCTCAACACCCACAGAATCACGCCATACCACGTGTCTTCGGGGGGGCAAGAGTCCAAGTGTAAAGTTCATGTCTCGTAGAGAAAATAAGAGTTGGCCAAAACCAACCTATAACACATGGATAAAGATAATTCATTCCCAGCCGAAAAGGTGTTGAAAATGTGATATTTAAGAAACTACGGTTATACTAATGTGAAAGCACCGTTTTTACTCTTGGTTCTGATTACAAGGAGGGAGGGTAACCTCGGTGCAGTGGAGCAGTAGTTGGGGTCAAAAATAACTCGATGCCTATTTTCTATGCCGTTTTGTCTACTTGATGTATCGTTTTGCCGATTTGTCATGTCATCTTGTCTACTTGATTTGTCGTCCAGATCAGGTAAAGCCGAGAGTTGGCAGTTAAGTCTGACGTCAGGCCTTCGTCAGGCCTTGTACAACTGACGTCTTGAAGCGACAAAAAAATTTTGAACACTAAAGTGGTAGATGGAGGAAACCGGCTTGTAGTGATCTGGTATTCAACTCATAACCGAACTGAGTATACTAGTTCTACTCAATTTCCTTGTATTGTGCGATTTCAACGATTGTCTCGATAACAGATAAGGTGTGATTAAAAAAACGAATTGCAATTCAACTTCAGCCTTGTGTGGTATTGACTGAAAGCACCCAAACGTTACACCTGTTGTAGGACCCTGCCGCGTTGTCAAGTTATTTTACAAGGACGCCTTGAGACTCAGTGTTTTATGCAAAATCTGATCGTAAAATATAGCCTAGAAATTTCGTTTAGATTTGAAAATTGTGACGGAGAGAGAGATATCGGAAAATATTCCGTTTTCGTAAACCTCTGAATGTCATTTACAATTTTTTGGAAATTCATGATAAAAGTATGAAAACCAAAAGAAACTATAAGAGGCTTAAGCTGCCATAGGATTTAGACAGAAAGCCTTCGTCATGGTCCAAGCGCTGTTCTCAAAAAAGGAAACTTTTGTTTGATTTCCGTCAACAAGAACCCATAAGAGGAAAAATTTACCGACGAAAGCTAATTGCTAATAATTACTCCGAACGAAGACCGATATTTGTAATGCAAACCATTCAACCATGACCTTACTTCCAAAAAACGCGTCTATACAGGAAAAAAATTGTGATTTGTCATGCAATGAATAAACTAAAATTTAAAAAAATGACAACAGAGTAACAAAGGCACACAGCAACAAGGTAACTAGGTAACAGAGTAACAAGGTAACAGAGCAACAAAGTAACAGGGTAACAAGGTAACAGAGTAACAAGGTTACAGAGTAACAAGTTAACAGAATAACATGGTAACAGAGCAACAGGGTAACAGAGTAACCAGGGAACAAGGTAACAGAGTATCAAGTTAACAAGGTAACAGTCAGAACAACAAGGTAACAAGGTACAACATAGTAACAAGGTAACAGACTAACAAGGTAATAAGTTAACAAGGTAACTAAGTAACAGCGTAACAAGGTAACAGGGTAACAAGGTAACAGAGTAACAAGGTGACAGAGTAACAAGATAACGGAGTGACAAGGTTACAGAGTTACAAGGTAACATAGTAACAAGGTAACGCATTAAGGTATAACTTATGCAAGTAAAGTCGGTACAAGAGTAACAGAGTGACAGAATTACAGAGTAACAAGGTAACATAGTAACAAGGTAATAGAGTAACAAGGTTACAAGGTAACAGAGTAACATGGTAACAAGATAACAGAGTAACAAGGTAACAGAGTAGCAGAGCAACAAAGAACCAAGCAAAAGAGAGAAGGTATAACTTTAATATGCAAGTAAAGTCGGAAAGAAGACCCGACGACACGAAGACATAAGAAGGACGCAGCGACGACATAAGCCCATAGCGACGCCACGACGAAAAGCCAGCGGTGCCCCGAAGAAAACAGTACGATGAAACGAAGGATGCGACGACTCGAAGACATGGAACCGACGCCACGAAGACAACAGACAATGACTCGAAGAACAATTTTCGAAGCGAAGAAGTGTTTCCAAGGCCACGAAATCCGAGTATCGATTTTGTCCCCGATCTGACGCCATACAAAAAGGTCGATGAAGGTGGCAAAGGAGCTGTTTGCTGACTACGTGAAAGAGAAAAAACTGAGGTATTTTTACACGTTTAAAAATAAATTATAAGTTCAGTTCATTATCAGTAGCCTTCGGGTTCGGCTGATAGTCCCTACCTCGTCCTTGATTAACCTGGATATCAAAAAACCTCATCCAATAATTGTTTAATATAATATTATCAGAAAGCAGGAGCATATGTATGCTTCTTTCAGAAGTTTCTGACATCATTAAACTATATACTCACCTGTGCACTTATCCTCACTTACAAGCACTGAGATTCACTTATATGGACTTAACTGCACTTCTTTCACCTGTATATACTCACCTTCACTTGCATGCACTTACATTCACTTGTATGCACTTACCTTCACTTGCATGCACTTACATTCACTTGTATGCACTTACCTTCACTTGCATGCACCTACATTCACTTGTATGCACTTACCTTCACTTGCATGCACCTACATTCACTTGTATGCACTTACCTTCACTTGCATGCACCTACATTCACTTGTATGCACTTACCTTCACTTGCATGCACTTACCTTCACTTGCATGCACCTACATTCACTTGCATGTATGCACTTACATTCACTTGTCGCTAGCGGGTTAAAAGAAGTCGCATCGAGGGCGTTAATGTGTTTTCAGTTTGAACGCCCGGAAACACGTGTTTTCCACATCCGCGACTGCTAGTGAACACCCACATTCTAATGAGAGGAGAAACGAAGAGAAGCCGCGACCGTCAAATACAATGCGAATTGAGATCCATGATGGCTGTGTTTCGGTTCTTATTGCTACTCTCCACCTACCTGTTGTGTATAAGCCCCCAGTTTATAAGCCCTCCTGAACCCTTTAAACCCTAAGATCAAAATTGAGATTCTCGTTTACTGTCCCTTTACTTTTTCAATACAAGTAGTGGGGAGAATTTGTTGAAATATCAGATAGACTCATCTTCCCTGATCATTTACTTAATTCTCATGACCACTCTGTTTTCTAAAGAATTGATACTATAAGGAAAAATTTCATGCTGATCACTCTTAGGGCTTAAACGGTTAAAGCCCTTACAAAGTTGTATAAGCCCTGGCATTTGAAGGGCTCCTGGCCCAGGCCTCACAATCGGAAGTGTACGGAACCTGTATCCTCCCATAAATAAAGAAAAATTAAGCCTAAGTGGAGAAAGGTTCAATACAAATATCTAGAACTGCGTTAACAGAGAGATTCAGAATTAAGTTTACGGCAAACGCCAAACTTGGAATTCAAGTTAAGAAGAACGTCTTTGTAATTTTGCTTTGTTGCGAACCTGGTGAATTCCCCTCGCACAACGGCATACCATAAGCTTCCGATTATTAGCCCCCAAATAAGAACGAAAGAAGCTGAAAACAAGGTTAAAAGTTTCTTGCCTGCGTTTCCACTGCTCAAGGCCGTATACCGCCGGACATGTTTGTGTATACTAAAACATTCTTTCACTTTGTTCTCATTGTATTTCCGTAAATGACTGTTGCATAAAGTACCATTTTGCTCCTTTTCTCTTATTTTATTACCCGAGATGACGTAGTCAGCAAGCGTCATAAATTCGGTAGCGCATTCCNTGTATACTAAAACATTCTTTCACTTTGTTCTCATTGTATTTCCGTAAATGACTGTTGCATAAAGTACCATTTTGCTCCTTTTCTCTTATTTTATTACCCGAGATGACGTAGTCAGCAAGCGTCATAAATTCGGTAGCGCATTCCTTTCGTATTTTTTTAAGGAGTAGAAAATTGTCTTGTCTTTTTAACTTTCCAATATCCCGTACCCGTCCCGGAAAATTGTGTGGTTTTTATTGGCTAAAACGTCCAATCAAAAACAAGTCAGGTTCGACTGCACAAGCAGAAAAAAGAAACTGCGTCAGAAAAGAAGCAAAAAGTAAGCTTACTGCGTAGAGGAGGAGTAGTTCACTGTGCCTCCTGTGCCCCCTGTGTCCCTTGTGTCCCCTTGTGTCCCCTGTGTCCCTTTGTGTCCCCTGTGTCCTCTGTGTCCCTTTCTCTGCCCTGTGTCTCTCGTCCTCCCTGTGTCGTCTGTGTCCCTTTCTCTCCCCTGTGTCTCTTGTCTTCCCTTTGTCCCCTTGTGTCCACCTTTGTCCCTTTGTGTCCTCTGTGTCCCTTTGTGTCCCATGTATCTCTTGTGTTCCCTATGACCCCTTGTGTCCCGCGTGTATTCTTGAGTCCCCTCTGTACGTTTGTGTCCCCTGTATCCCTTTGTGTTCCCTGTGTCCCCTTGTGTCCATTTTGTACCTTTGTGTCCCCCCTGTCCGTTGTGTCCCCTTGTGTCCCCTGTGTCCCTTTGAGTTTCCTGTGTCCCCTGTGTCCCTGGTCTTCAATTATGTCCCCTGTGTCCCATGTATCCCCAGTGTCCCTTTGTGTCCTCTGTGTCCCCTGTGTCTCTTATGTCCCCTTGTCTCCCTTGTGACTCCTGTGTCCCATATGTCCTCTTGTGTGCCTTGTGTCCCCTGTCTTCCTTGTGTCTAATGTGTCCCTTGTGTTCCTTCTGTCCCATGACTCTCGTGTGTCCCTTGTGTCCCCTATGTCCCTTTGTGTCCCTTGTCTCCTGTGTCCCTCATGTCACCTGCGTCCTATGTGTCCCCTTGTGTCCCCTGTGTCTCCTGTGTCCCATGGAGACCGTCTGTTCTTTCTGTCCCCTGTATCCCTTTTGTTTCCTATGTCCCCTTGTATCCCCTGTGTACCTTTGTGTTTCTTTGTTCCAATTGTGTCACCTGCGTCCCATGTGTCCCCTTCTGTACCCTGTGTCCCCTGTGTCCCTTGTGTCTCCTGTGTCCCTTGTGTCACATGGATCCCCTGTGTCCCTTGTGTGCCCTGAGTCTCCTGTGTCCCTTGTGTCCCCTTGTATCCCTTGTGTCTCCTGTGTGCCCTTGTGTCCCTTTTGTCCCATTGTGTCCCTTGTGTCCCCAAGTGACCCTGTGTCCCTTGTGTCCCCTGTGTCCCTCGTGTCCCCTGCGTCCCATGTGTCCCCTTGTTTCCTTGTGTCTCCTTTGTCCCCTGTGTCCCTTGTGTCTCCAGTGTCCCATGGAGCCCTCTTGTGTGCCATGAGTCTCCCGTGTTGCTTTTGTCCCCTTGTGTCTCTTGTATCCCTTGTGTGTCCCCTTGTGTCCCTTGTGTCTCCTGTGTACCCTTGTGTCCCATGTGCCCTATTGTGTCCGTTGTAATCCCTGTATCCCCAATGTCCCCTTGTGTCGCCCATGACCCCTTGTGTCCCCTGTGTACCTTTCTGTTTCTTTTTGTTCCCTGTGTTCCCTTGTGTCCCTTTTGTACCTTTCTGTCCCCTGTGTCCCTTTGTGTCCCCTGTGTCCCTTATGTTCCCTTGTCCCCTGCGTTCCTTTGTGTCCCCTAAGTCCCTATAGTTCAGTGTGTCAGTTCTGTCCCCTGGGTCCCTTGTGTCCCCTAGGTCAAGTTTTGTCCCCTATGTCCCTCGTGACACCTGTGTACCTGGTGTCTCCTTCTCTCCCCTGTGTCCCCTTGTGTTGACTGTGTCTCCAGTCTCCCTTGTTTCCAATTGTGTCCCCTGAGTCCCCTGAATCCCTTGTGTTTCCCCGTGTCCCCTGCGTCTCTTGTCTCCTTTTCTCCTTTCTATCCCTTTGTGTCCCCTGTGTTCCCTGTGTCCCCTGTGTCCTTTGTGTCCGCTGTGTCCTTTCTGTCCCCTGTGTGCCCAGAGTCTCCTGTGTCCCCTTGTGTCCCCTGTGTCCCCTTGTGTCCCTTTTGTCCTCTTGTGTCCCATGTGCCCTTGTGTCCCCAAGAGACCCCTGTGTCCCTTGGGTGCCTTCTCTCTCCTGTGTCCTCTATGTCCATCGTCTCCCCTGGGTCACGTTTGTTACTTGTGTCCCCTGTGACCCTTGTTTCTTCTGTGTCCCGTGTGTGCCTTGGTCAACTTATGTCCATTGCGACCCGTGTGTTCCCTGTGTTCCCTGTGTCCCTTATGTCCATTGTGTCCCCTGTGTCGCCTGTGTCGGCTGCGTCCCTTGTGTCTTCTGTGTCTCATAAGTCTCCCGTGTCCCATAACTCCCCTGTGTCCCTTGTGTCTCCTGTGTCCCGTGTGTCCCATGGAGCCCTTGTGTCCCCTGTGTCCCTTGTGTGCACTCAGTCTCCTGTCTCCCTTGTGTCCCCTTGTGTCCCTTGTATCCCTTGTGTACCCTGTGTCCCTTTGTGTCCCTTGCGTTGCTTGTGTCTCCTTGTGTCCCTTTTGTACTTTTGTGTCCCCTGTGTCCCTTGTGTTCCCTGTGTCCCTTGAGTCCCTAGAGTCCCCTGTGTCACTTGTGTCCACTGTGTTCCCAGTGTCCCCTGGGTCCCTAGAGTCCCCTGTGACACTTGTGTCCCCTGTGTCCCTTGTGACCCCTGCATATCCGGTGTCCCCTTGTGTCCCATGTGTCCCCTTGAGTTGATTGTGTCTCCTGTCTCCCTTGTGTTCCCTAAGTCCCCTGCCTCCATTGTGTTTCCGTGTGTCCCCTGTGTCTCTTGTCTTCCCTGTGTCCCTTGTGCCCCTGTGTCACCTATGTCCTTTGTGTCTGCTGTGTCCCTTGTGTCCCCTGGGTAACTTGTGACTCCTGTATCTCCTTGGGTTCCCTGTGTCCCTTTTGTCTATTGTGTCCCCTGTGTCTGTTGTGTCCCCTTTGTCTCACGTGTCCCCGTGTGTCCCCTGCGTCCTCTGGGTCCCTGGTCTTCAATTATGTCCCTGTCTCCCTTTGTGTCCCCTGTGTCCCTTATGTCGACCTGTGTCCCTTGTGACTCCTGTGTCCCTTGTGTCCCATGTTTCCTCTTGTGTGCTTTGTGTCCCCTGTTACCCCTTTGTCACCTGTGTCCCTTGTGTCCCCTGTGTTATCTGTGTTCCCTATGTCCCTCGTGCCTCTTTTGTCCCTTGTGTCCCTTGTGTCCCCTCTGTCCCCTTGTTTTCCATATGTTCCCTGTATCCCTTTGTGCCCCTGTGTCCTCTGTGCCCCTTTTGTCCCCATTGTCCATTGTTTCCTCTTGTGTCCCCTATGTCCTTTGTTTTCCTTTGTGTCCCTTGTTTTCGTCTGTATCCCTTGTGTCCCTTGAAAGTTCCTTTGCCCCTTGTGTTCCCTGTGTCCCTTTGAGTCCACTGAGTGGCCTATGTCCCTTGTCTTCAATTTTGTCCCCTCTGTCTCCTGTGTCCCTTTTGCCCCCTTTGTCCTTTGGGCCCCTGGAGTGCCCTGTGTCCGTTGTGTCTTCTTGTGTCCCTTTTGTCCCTTTGTGCCCCTTGTGTTCCCTGTGTCCTCTTGTGACCCCTGTGTCCCTTGGGTCCCCTGTGTCTCCTGTATCCATCGTGTCTTCTGTGTCCCTTTTGTCCCTTGTGTCCTATGTGCCCCATTGTGTCCCCTTTGTCCCTTCTGTCCACACGTGTCCGCTGTATCCCTTGGTTCTCCTTAAGTTCCCTGTTTGCCCGGTGTCCCTTGTGTCTCTTGTGTTTTCCTGTGTCCCTAGTGTCCCATGTATCCCGTGTGCCTCTTGTATCCCTTGTGTCCCCTCGGATCCATTGTAGCCTCTGTGTCCCTTGTGTCTTTTGGGTTCCCTGTGTCCTCTGCGTACCTTGTGTCCCTTTATGTCTCTTGTGTCCCTTGTGTCTGCTTTGTCTGTTGTGTCCCCTTGTGTCCCTTTTGTCCCTTTGTGCCCCTTGTGTCTAATGTGTCCCATTGTGTCCCTTGAGTCCATTGTGTGCCCTGTAACTCCTGTATCCATTGTGTCCTCTGTGTCCCATTGTGTCCCATTTTCCCCTTGCGTCCCCTTTGTTCCTTTTGTCCCTTTGTGTCCCTTGTCACCCCTGTGTCCGCTGTGTCTCTTGCTTCCCCTGTATCTCCTAAAGTTTCCCGAGTCCACTGTGTTTCTTGTGTCTCTTGTGTTTTCCTTTGTCCCTTGTGTCACCTGTGTCTTATGTATCCCGTGTGTCTCTTGTGTCCCTGTGGATCCCTTATGACCTCTCTATCCCTTGTGCCCCTTGTGTCCCATGTGTCCTATTGTGTCCCCTTGTGTCCCTTGTGTTTCCTGTGTCTCGTGGGTCCCTTGTGTCCCTTGTGTTTCCTGTATCCATTGTTTCCTCTGTGTCCCTTTTGTCTCCTTGTGTCCCTGGTGTCCGATGTCTCCCATTGTGTCCCTTGTGTCCGCTGTGTCCCTTGCTTCTCCTGTGTTCCTTGCTTCTCCTGTGTTCCCTTAAGTTCCCTGTGTTCCCTGTGTCTCTTGTGTTTTTGTGGTCCCGTGTCCCATGTATTCCGCGTGTCTCCCTTGTCCCCTTGGGTCCTTTGCGACCTCTGTGTCCCTTTTCGTGTCCCCGGTGTCCTTTGTGTCCCCTTGTGTGCCCTCTGTCCCCTTGGTACTCTTCTGTCCCCTCTGAACCTTTGTGCCCCCTTGTCCTTTGTGCCCCTTATGTCCTCCTATGTCCCCTGTCTCCCTTTGTCCCTTGTTTTTCTTTGTATCCCTTGTGTCCCCCATGTACCTTGTGTCTCTTTGAAGCCCCTGTCTCCCTTGTGTCCTCTGTGTCTTTTGTGTTCCCATGTAACCCCTATGTCCCTTGTGTCTCTTGTGTTCCCTTGTGTCCCATTGGTCCCCTTCTGCCCTTTGTGTCCCTAGCGTCCCGTGTCCCTTGTGTCCCCTTAAAGTAAAGTAAAGTAAACTTTATTTACACAGGGAAGCCTGTTCAGCTCTAAGGCTGGTCCCCATAGGGGCCCTGTATCTTAAAAAATTGCGATACAGTCCCCTTGTGACCTGTGTCCCCTGTGACTTCTGTCTCACTTGTGTTCCCGGTGTCCCTTTGAGTTCCCTGTGTTGTGTCCCTTGTGTTCCCTGTGTCCCCTTCTGTCCGTTGTGTCCCCCGTTTTCCTTTTTTTCCGTGTCCCTTGTGTTCCCTGTGTCTTCTTATGTTGTTTTTTCTATCCCGTGTCCCCCTTTTTCGTTTAAAAAAGATGAAGTATTCAGTGGCGTTGCCTTTGTTTCTTATCTGGCGCGAAAACTTGGGGGTTCCATTGCTTCATGTGACAACATGCGGGTTTTTTTTGTGATTTTTTATGAAAATAAAAAAACAAAACACAAAGTTCTGCTTTAATTGTTTAGAATTTTTTTATTTGATTAATCAACTAACGGTTCACTGATTTATTTATTTGAACCATTACGAACACAGCAATTATTCTTGTCCATATACAAACATATAAATCGCTCCTTCATAAAATGATTAGCCTTGATCACGAATGCGCACTCATACTTTCATAAGATAAAAAATAGGCGCCCACTATCTTTACAAAAACACTGCAATCTTCGTTTGAACTTGTATTTATTGATAGTCCATGCAGTCTTAATTCTTTCCATAAATGTTTCAATCCAACCTCAATGCACTTATCTGTAACTCAATAACACATGCGCACTTTTAATATTAACATGAAAACCAAGCGCATACCTGCATTTCTTATATATAAATTGCAATCCCCATTAATACACTTAACCTAGTTTCGCAATAAGTTAATTGTTACAAAATTATTGCAACAAGTCTTAGTAAATTGGACCCTCGATTAATAACATGCACTTTCTTACTTCTTACATTAGCATTGCAATACCCTCATAGTAAGTTAATTACCAGATTAATCAAATGCGCTCACTCTTAAATTTTGCCTACAATACCCAGAAAGACACACACAAGAATAAATACAGGGGCCTGTAGGTCAGCAAGGGCCTCAAAGCCAGTTTATCGCAAAACGTCTGTAAGATTTCAAAAATGCACTAAAAAACACCCCATGACGAAACACGAATCTCAAAGAAAAAAAGTACGGCACCGCCGGATACGAAAACCCAAAAACACTTTATGGAGAAAAGGGAACGTACGGCCCCACCTGCTGCAATCAGCTGCGGTGCCGACAACTCGGGGGCAGAGGTACGAAAAATCTAGCTGCCAAAAGCCTATAAACAAATATAACAACAATTGGCAAATAAAATGAAAGTTAGGAGCTCGAATGAATGCTGAACTAGACTGATTCAAATTGCAACGTACAACTAAATATATATCTCAAAAAGCTAACCACAATTCCTCCACCCGGCCTAGTCCTCTGGTCGCAGTGCCGGCAAAATAGCTATTTCTCTCTCCTCTACATCTCAGTTTGTTCCAACAAGACAACACACAAACCTTGGGTGCGGCTTGCTTCAAGCCAAGCGCTCGGTTTATTCACGAAAAAACTAAGATACATGACATGTCATAGAAACGTAATATACAATCCAAGTAACACAGCTCCAAAGAACTAGATCACAAGCTAATTGAAATGGGGTCGTGGAACAACAGCTGGGTGAAAAACCTCCCCGTACGTCCACTTGCACCTAGGAGGAAAACCCCGGGCCAGCTGTACCCCATAAAAAACGGTCCCCCGGGCAAGACCAACTAAATAGAAACTAGAATCAATTAAAAGCGGTACGAACGAGAAAATTAAATACCTAAAGCCTTAGAATTTGGAAAGCTGGCAAAACAAATGGCTATCGCAGGAAAGCCCAGCTCTATCTAAATAACGGTTCATCATATCAACCGGACAAGTTGCTTTCCTAGAAGAAGCTACAACAATCCAAGCTCCATCCCTATACTGATCAGGTTTACTAGATTGAATGAATAACTTTAACATGTCATTTTCGATCTTAACATCGGATCGAACAAGCTTAGCAAGCTCAACAAATCTGAGAAAGGCAGCAAAAGCTAGTAAGCAAATAACAACCGAACGAATATTATACAAAGAGGCCATTGAGTCCGCCTTGGAGGCAACTAACTGCTCTAACTGAGAGACTGTGATAGGCTCCTTCTTCGTTGTTTGGTAAACGCTGCGCACCGGCAAAAGTACTCTTCACCAACGGATGATCAGAAGGAGACGGCTCGCCATCCAGCTGGTGAAACCAGGCAATGCTGTGAACTGCTGACTCCAGGGGAGATGCTGTCTTCGCCTCAGTCATCAAATGACGCAAATATATAGCAAAGTGAAACGGAGAAGCGGGAAAAACTGTCAAGCCATGTTCTCGTGCCCAAGACCTCCATCTATTGTAAGAAGAAAAATACTTGGCGGAAGTACTGGGTGCTCTGCTAGCCAACGCAATATCCGGAGGAGAACTTGCAAGGGATTGTAAAGTACTGGATCCGTGGGGAACCGCAGCCCGAAGATCCCACCACATAGTAGAGCTGAAAACATCTGCAAAATAAAAGCAAAAAGAACACACACACACACTAAAAAGTAAAAAACAACCAAAAATGACCCGAACGCTGGAACAGCAAGACCGAAATGAAA